AAAAAATAGAGTCAAAACTGGTTATATTAGCTCAGTGGGTCTCTGGGGCAAAAGTAAATTAGTGAATTCAAACATTTTATGAAGCTTGGGGTCATTATTATATAACAGTGTTAGGATCGCGTTCTTACTTAGATTTCTTCATGTAGAGCCAGTATGCCAGGCCTATAATCACCGTGGCAATGAGCAGACCGACGACAACGCCAACCACCATCTTGGTCTGGTCACTGTGATCTGACTGGTCTGTAACAAACGATCCAACAGAAATATCAGAGACACGTTCCAGTATCAAACTCCAGTCTGAATGCAGAACAACACAAAGCCATTAAGTGCAATAAAGGCATTGATGAATGGACACATCCGCACTGTACATGGCTGTGACCAACTGAGTTAAATGTTAATGACATATTCTTAGTTTCAACTCCTTTCCTCAGCCAATGGGATTATGAATATGTTGACATTTTGTCAGGATGCTGGCAGCTCCATTCCTATTACTCCTTCATTTATATTTTATTAACAGAGACTCCAAATATTGATTTTCCAACTGTACAGTCCAAGGTGATGTTTAAGGCAAATATTTGTCAAAAAACCCTTCTTTCAGTGAGCAACATTTGATTCACCTATAGTCTTTACTCAACCCTCCCCCCAACCACCACTACCATTTCTTACAAGCAAGAAGACTGCTACAACTTACCTTGTTTAGCCATTCTCACAGCCTCATATACTGAAATCAGATATAAAATAAAATTAACATCCAACCAAAAGAAAAAACTAAACAACCAAACAAAAAAAAAAAGCAAGCTTGACATCTGAAAAAACGACTACTCTACTTCTGTTCTACTTTTGCATGCAAGTTGTTCAAGAGGGAACAGATTAAATCCAGCATCCCAACATACACACACTGAGCGAGGAGGCAAGAGGGGTGAAATGCTCTCTCAAACACACAGGGATGAGTAAGCACGAATGCAGAGGGTGATATTAACACATTTGGACAACTGTGTGCACAAAGTGATAAGTGCATGCATCATTTACATATTGACAGTAATGTGGTGACAGTAAAAAGTTGGATGTTCTCCTAAGTGATCATCAAAAGGAAAATAACCACCAATATAGCAAAACAAAAATTAGTTAATACCCCAAAAGCAGCATTTATCATCTCACCTTTTATCACTGTCTTTCTCTACTATGGACTAAAAGCGTGAAATTAAGTCAGCTGACTGGTTGTTTATGCCAAGTCAATGCCAGAAAGGTTTCTGTCAGCCCAAAATGGCTGCGGAGTTGCTGCAGTTTTGTTAAAGCATCTCAACATTATGCAAAGTTGGCATGCAGACAGAAAGAGTTCATGAGCAGATTAGGAAAACATCTACAGACTATAGAGTTATGCTTCAGGAAAATTATGAAGGAGAGAGAGAGAGAGAGGACCATCCTACCACGTTGTACTTACAGGACGATACATTTATAGTGCTGGTGTCCATGCCAATCTTATTAATCACTGTACAAGAGACAGTAAGATTTGCAGTAGGCACAACTGTGATCTTGTGTGTTATCTTTCCGTGGTCAAAGCTTTCATAAAGCTGAACAATGAGGAAAAAAAAACACAAATGTTAGCATTTACACATCTCATACAACTGAATATATAGGAGGACAACTTGCACCACTAGGAGGCGATGTTGCGCCAATACTCAGGCTTTCCATGACAAAGACACTGAGTGTGTGCCTCTGGGATATAGACACTTCAGTCTCAGAGGAAAACCTCAGACACAAAGACAAACTGCCAACACCCTTTCCACATCCTCTCTATATACAAGAGGATGTGGCAATTCTGCAAATACCCATTACTGAGCCTGCAATCAAGCTGTACATTATTTTCTCTGTGAAAAGCCTTTAAAGGATGTGATGAAAGAAGGAAAAAATAAACTTTGAATAATATGGAGAAATATGTGTTATCTCCAAAATGCATAGTCCTCAGTGAAGGAGTATTGTGCACCTTTGGTATTGATTAATTATTACACACAGGTTCAGGTTCTGAGGTTAGACATAGAGTGAAAGGCTTGCAACCCCTCCAACCCCCAGTTCATATGTAATTCACACTATTTCAGCTCTGCTATCAATGTGCAGCCAAGTACACCTTAGAAACAAAAGCAGGAAAAAGGTCCATTTTAGGAAAATTGACCAGATAACTTCAAAATTATGACAGCTGGGGAAAATACTACCACTGCAAACCACTATGCACATATCGGGGAATATTCATTCACTCTGCAGTACTGGGTCAGCAGCAAAAGTAAAGCATGAAATGTCTCAGGAGCAAGACAAACCTTGGAATTTTTATTCATTTATTTATTTTTCTTCACAGAATCTAGGGAGGGGAGGCTTGAACAGACTGCCTCTGTTTGGTCCCACCTTCACATCTCTGATGATATTCATAGGTTTCTTGTGAAGAAAAACAATGCTATTACATTGGAACAACCATATGAGCACATCATTGCTTAAAGGGACTGTGTATAGTTCGTTAAGCAGTGCAAGCAAGCAAGTGCATGAAATTGTTTGATAACCCAGACACAAATAGCTCCAAATCTAATCACAGAGTGAATGCCAGTGTAGCTCCAAATGAAGCTTGAATTACTCCTCCATTCATCTGCTGCAAATAGAAATCATGTACAATATGTCTTGGCTACTTTAGATGCTATTAGGTAAAAAAGAAGGAATAACTGGGGCCAAGATGATATTCATATTGTTTGTTAAGTCAATACATTCAGCTGCTAACAAGCACAAGGGAGAAACACTTTCTCTATAATCTCAGCCTGAAAAATTGGCTTGTCCATTGTTCAAGATGACACCGATGATAAATTCAGTGGTTTGGTTATTAATAAGCCCAGCAGAGTCAAACTTCACATGCAGGCTGCTACAACAACACAACTTTATGAAGCACTCAGTTAAACTGCCAACCAACACGCAAGGGAAATGATGTAATCCCACTTTGCTGTTAGTAAATTACACAAAAACTACAAGTTTAAAACAATGTGTGTTTGGCTGGCTGTGCTGTAAACAAATAAACCAGTTGCTCTTGTGTTGAATTTCTGTTGTCGCCAAAATCCACCAGGACTGAAATCTTATTAGAACTTTGACAACAATACTTCTTTGCAAATAAGGGGAACAACTGTTTCAGTGGTGGTGTACACATGTTCAAACTAGGTCCAGAGCACTGCATTTGTAATATCACCTGTCTACAATATGTTTGTTATTATGTAGTTTAAGTTGACTCCCACTACATTTCTAACACTCCAGAGCGGACACCATATATAAACTCACTTTGAAAATCAGTCACCGGCTACTACTTCCAGTTATTTCCTATGTGACAATAAGCTGAAGATTAGCTATATTTATGATTATAGTCGTATGGTATTTCTTGCTGTTAATACTATGTTTCCTGCCAAGGTTTTATTCAAGAGGTGAAGTATATGAAGAACTGTCTGTGTGCTGGCAGACAAGGAGCTGAGTGAACATGAAAAAAGAATATGCTCTTGCAATCATGATGAATAAATGCATGTACATATAAATTCGTGGCTATGGCCTTTGGAAATTGTAACAATTATCAATGGAAGAGATTTCTTCCAGCATGATAACAGGTAACACTTGAAGAGTGTGGGTGTGCATACCGAGGTGCCATTGATGCTCCAGGAAACAACCGGCTCTGGGAAACCTTCAACCTCACAAATCAAGACTGTATGCTGGTTGTCTTCACCAGGATCTTGGGACAGCCCCAAGACTGTATGCTGGTTGTCTTCACCACGCTTTTCGGACAGCCGTTTGATCACTGGAATACCTGCAACATGACACAACTCTTCAGCCATATCTGAATGAGAACATTGTTTATCATGGCTGCATTTCATTTATGCACATGCCTAAAATAACTGAGGAAAGTCTACACTCAAAGTAATATTTTGAAGTTTTGGGAAACATACTTATGTGCTTTCTTGCGGAGAGTGAGAGACGAAACATGAAGCTACAGGCAGCAGCTGGCTAGCTTAGCTTAGCATAAAGAGAAAACAGCAGTCCTGGCTGTGTACAAAGGTAACAAAATCAGCCTACCAGCTTCTAAAGAGCACTATTATATCTTATATGTTTAATCTGTAGAAAAGGTGAGGTGTAAAAATGACAAAGTTGTGGCTGTAGGCTAGGGCTGGGAATCACCACTGATTTCCTGAATCGATTCAACGTCCCAGTTTGAATCGATTTCCGATTTGATTCACTATCAGTTCAGTTAGGTTTATTTCAGACATTCCAAAAGTTCGACAGTGTCTTCAACAGCATAGCCTCTGCCATGCCAGGCCTCTACGCTAACAGTTATTTTTAGGGGCACTTTTTTCTTTACAGGTAACAATTTATGGGCACAGTTAGTTTTTAAAGAAATAACATTAATGCATCTCTTTAACAAACATTAAAATACTGTTTGCATAATGTACAGGGGCAAACTGATGGGCAGCCTACAGGGCCTGGTGAAGACCGATGTGCACTGTGCTGCATGAATGCATCCTTTTTCAAACAGCACAGTTTACTAATTCATTTTACAATTAGAAAATGGAGTTGGAGTATGATAACATTTTATTCAATCTGAATCCAGAATCAAATTAAATAATAAAATATGTTCCTATTTTTCTTGCTGACCTACAAGCATACTGAGAGAAGACAAATTCTTTGCTTTTAGACATAAATGTGATTCTGATTCTGCAATAGTGATGGATTCAAGTTTAACAAACTTATTTTTTAACAAAAATGCCATTATCAACACTGGCTAAAACTGAAAAGCTGCTTCTTGACTTCTTGAATGGTTTGTGTACTGGTTTATTATTTTCAATATATTTTTTTTTATATTAACACTTTTGACTCATACAGGCATGAAAAGTCATCTGGAGACTCTCAATCACTTACAGGCAGTGTCAAATGTTAGAAGAATCATATAGTAAACAGAGGTTAAATTATCTATGATTTCTAGAAGAGTACATGACATAAATTGTTTACCTGTATATAAGTTTTGATTATATAATCTATTATTTACATCTTTTCAAAAGTCCACAACAGCTACAAAGCTCCAGTCTCACAAATGTTCATAAAACCGAGTGAACACATTAACAAGAATCAACATCTAAAAATTTACAGTATATGTAAGGTAGCTGCTATTTACTTCTGTTCAGTTTGCATTGTATTAAAGTATTTCTATTTTTTACTCTGCTCTCTCTATAATAAGTTAGAAGGCTACAAAGTGTGAAATTAGAATTCAAAGTGGACAGTACAGCAGTGAAGCAGTGAAAACTGCGGCAGTTTAATTTTAGCAACCCCCCTTTCTTCTGTCTGTAATAAAACTCTGAAGTTCTGAGCTCATCACTTTGGGTACTTTAATGAGTGTGTTAGAATTTCTGAAGAATACAAGAGTAGAAAAATAAGCTACACAACATTATCCTGACAAATAAACAGACTATAGCTTTCTTCTGACTACTTCTTATGTCATAAGACTAGACAGGTGTTTGCGCTGGACTCTCTGGGAGCTGTGCTCCTGACTCCACTCAGCCTAATGAGCTCGCTATATTTAGTCATAGATATAAAGGCTTACAATTACATGACACATGAGCATGTATCAGTTATACAATAATAGTTCCATGCACATAAACTGCTGCTGGCCATTATGGGGATACATCAATGCATCATCTAACAGTTAGCTATTAGGTGTTAGCCTAAGGAGCTCAATAGTTAACACGTAGGTTACTGATGGAGGATGGGAATCTGTGGGCAATGCTGAAATGATTGCTACGCTGCAAGTTTATGCTTGTTTAGGGGTAGGCTATTTTGATAAATTCTTCTGACTGGCTTTTTACTCAGAGGTTTTATTGCACATACAGTAGATCCGAGGTGTTGTCATGTCGATTAGTTGTTGTTAGATGTTTTTAGTTTAGTACTTTTTCCCAACTATGTAAAGTCTTACATGATAGTTTATGAATTTCCTTGAATGGTCATAATCTCCTGGCTGTGTGTGTTCATGTGAGCCTGCCTGACATCCACGCCATTGTAAAAGCGGAATTTTTCAACTGCACAAGGTTTTGTGGATAAATTTTACCTCCTGCTGCACTGTGACCAGAGGATGTGGAAAAAAATACAGGGCCTGAGGTTTACTGCATGTCTGGGAATGTTCCTGTACAGGGAACATTTTGCCTGACTGAGTCTAACGTGGTGCGAATGTAGCAGCTGGAAACCTAAAACTGGCGAGAGGATTCTAATGATCCATGATGAGAGATTTGTGGGGCAAGACGCAGTGATCACTAGTTGGATTTACTGACCATGAAGTTTCCACTTCAGTGGGACATAACGGTAAAAAAAAAACTGCACAAGTTGCATGTCTGTTGGCTGGAGAAGTTACTATGTCTGCATTATGGCAGTTAAAATATGGGGTTTCTCAATGACCTGCTTTGTTTAGTATTACACATCTCTTTTCATCGGTACAGATACCGTCATTTACCTATCATAGAGGAAAAACTCAAAATAATTAATGATGTTGCGGTTCATTGTGCTTGTCCACTTTCATATTCTGGCTCGAACATGCAGGATTTGAGCTATCGTCACTGTCGAAAACGTAGCTTATTTGTCAGTGTTTTTTGTTTATGCATTTTCTTATGTCTTGTGTCAACAAGTGTTCCCCTATCGAGATGTGTTTCCTCTGTTCATAACTCAGTTTCATGTAGCACTCCCCTCAGAAGTTGTGGTTAGGATAATGTTAGGGTTCAGGTTAGAGGCAATATCTTCATGGGGAAACAGATTTCGACAACGCCAGCAGCAGGGCGTGTGTGCATTCACGAACTATCCTCTTGTTTTCAGGAAGAGGCTCTCTAGTGTTATCATTCTGAAATACTATTTGGAGTTATGAGGGGTGCAAAGCTAATCTAGAGGTACCCCAGATTAAACATTAAATGGCTGGAAATGAGGATGCCATGGGCTCTTTAATGAATCCATAGAAAAAGGCATATATTAAAAGATTGATTTTGGGGATTCATGAATTTCTGGTTATTCAAATGAAGCTCAACTTGAATTGGAAGATAGATTTTTTTAAAACCAGTCCTAGGCAACTTATTTGAGTCTCTGCTGTTTCCCTAGTAACCACAATAAAGCTCTATGTTATTTTTATACTTCGTATTTATTAAAGAATTAAACAAATAAAATACAATGTGTTAATCCTTGAAACAGATTTGGATTTTTTGGGGCTTTGGACAGACCCAGGCAAGCTGTTTCCCTGTTTTATGCTATGCTGTTAACCAGCAGCTGGCTTTATCTTCATATTTACAGACACAAGGGTAATATCAATATTCTCATCTCTCTCTCAGCAACAAAACAAACAAGTGTATTTCCCAAAATTTCTTCATAAGGCCTTACCTTCAACAACCAGCTCAAAACCAACTTTTCGGCTGAGGAGCCCCATCGTCACTGTGCACTCATAGCGGCCAGAGTGGGAGTACGTCAGGTTGGTAAACTTGGGCTCTTTATCCAGTTTAACATTATCCTGTATTAAATGTAAAAATATCTCTATATATCAGCACTGTCAGTAACAAGTACAAACTTTTCTTCATTGGTTTAGGCTCTCTTGTATAACAGATAGCTTTTACCTGTGTCCAGGAGACCTCTGTCTCTCCGGAAGCCTCAATCAGGAGAGCTAGATCGAGGGCCTCGCTGACATTCTTGATAATAATCCCGGAGAGGCTTAAATTGACATCTAGGTCTAAAAGGAGAGAAGAGGATGATGAAAAGGTGGTTTAGAGTCCTGATAAGGGTCGAAACATTCCTGTTGTTAACCATACAGCTCAGCACTTGGCTCACAGCCCTGCAGATGCAGCTTATTAGAAGCAGTGTGGTTGACAAGACTTTCTCCACAAAGCACAGGAAGACAGGTAAGCTGGCAAAGAGGACTTTTCTCCAACAAATACTTTTCACTTTCATAGTAACAAATACGACTACAGGGAGAAAAGGCAGCTGCACTGTGTGGAATAATTGCAGTAATTTCTAAATTTCAAGTAATAAAACATAGCAGTGTTTCGGTTTCTTACAGTTGACTGTGATGTCCTCAGATGCTTCCAACAAGGGGTTATCAATGAGGGAGCATTTGTATTCACCAGTGGTATCACGTGAGACGTTCGTGATGGTGTAAGTATTTGCATTTTCCACTTTCACCAACTCTCCCTACAAAGATATTCAGTCAGTCAATGGCAGGTAATTAGCTTTGAATGTCTTTTCAAAGATAGAGAACAAGCAGAATCTTAAATCTATACATAAAAAGAGTGGAACAAGCACGAATCAAATGAAGTTCTGTTTCCAAGGAGATTTTGATGAGTATATGTACCTTAAGGTGGAAATTAAAGCTGGTAGGAGCTGGGTTACCATCTGCAATGCACTTCAGAGTCACACTGTCTCCTACAAGAGGGTTTTGAGGATTGACCACAAGGCTGATTTTCTCTGTGGAGTCTGTGTAGAAAACAAGAGATAAAAAGTTAGAGAGGGGAAACATGTGTGGGTGGAGGGTGTAGCAAGTGGAGTGTGCTGCCCCCAACAGCTGCCCGTGGGGATTGCTGAGACCAACCGTCCCAGTACATGACAGAGAGCTCCAACTTTGTGCCTCAGTACTGGTTATTGTAACCAACTTCAAAATCCAGCTGAGAAGATGGTTGAATTGTTGTCATATTCTGAGGCACTCAACCAAAAATCCTTTCATAGCTCAGCGTTTCTTCACATTTCTTGTACGAAAGTGTTCAGCACTGATGAGTTCTATTTTAAAATTAAACAATTAACACCAATATTTAGTTGTATTCAGTCTAACCTTTAATTCACACTGAAAAAGTTTTTGGAGGCGTTTTCTATCCCGTCTCACACCGTGGATAGAATTCCATTCTACTGAATGTGTCAATCCACACCGAATTCGAGACACATGCGTATAACGCATCTGCCCTGGAACCCTCCCGGTTTTTCTGTGCTTCAGGTCTGGTATTGTTTTTGTCCAGTACATTTGTGCTGTCTGTCTGCCCATTGAAGACTCTCTCCTGCTGCTGTCCAGCTGACAGACAGCTGTTCTAATGACAGAGACAGAACGTACCGCTCACATCTCGCTTTCAGTGTTGACTGAATGGAATCATGCTTCAGTAGCACTTGCGTCTCGCTCATATCTCGCTTTCAGTGTGGATTCCCAGTAAATTCCACTACACCACTGTCACCATTAAAAGGCACCGCTGAAGTTGTCTGTCTTGGCAGGAGGCTGCTGCTGATGTAGTCCTGAAAAGCCCAGCAAGATACTGTGTGTGATGTTGAAAAAAAACTTGACTTCAATTAGTCACGGTTATGGAAATAGTAAAACAAAGTCAAGAACAAAATCTGTCATTTGTAGTGTTTAATTATAAAACTTTCACAAAAGAAGTCGGTGCCCACAGAAATCTCCAGCTCTCTCCAGGCAAAGAGCAAAGTCTGGCATGTGCACTCCCTATTTATAATTTTGCTCTCTAAGAATGCAGACATAATGAGATGTTCTTGTGTGCAGAACAATGCGGCTTGCACTTTCAGGGCACATATCAGGGCACCTGACAGACAGCAACATAGGAGCGCACAGCAAACACATAAAGGTAAGCTCACTTCTCTCTACATTTCTCTCTCTGCTGTGGTGTTAGGACAATAGTTTAACCACTATCTAACATAAAAGGCATCACTCAGTTAACATTACATCTGATTCATATTTGGTTTGATAAAAATTCCAACACAGTCACACAAGTGTTGCCTTTGACCGTATTTTTAATTTCATGTTATGTTAAATTGAATAACGTTTGGTAGCGGCTTACTTGCAAAAATGTAACAAAATCACATTAGAGTCAATAAAACATAACTGAAGCTAGGAAGTAAAAACAACTGTTTCAACTTTAATATTTACATTTTTTTAAATGTGAGAGGTAACGCTTTGAATTCTCACAGCACTGATACCAGTAAAATATTTTTAGATCAAGTAGGTGTAAAACAGTATAACTAGGGTGATTTTGTAAAAGTGAAAAAAACATCTGGTGTAGTTGTGTTTTTTAAGGCTACATGCTTAAAACAAAAGTGGAACATATTAAGAAATAACCTAATTCCTTCAAATAATTTTTTTCCTTTTTCAGAAGAGAAAATATTTAGAAACTTGGAGACTATATCTGGATTTGGATCTCTGCCCAAAATAACCACTGTGATAGACAATCATGACAAACATGAGCCAGGCTTAGTGGTTTTCGTATACAATACGGACAGTGTGGAAAGTCATTACCAAAGGGAATCGTTCAACATGTATGCGTATTTGCTTTCCACCTGTCAACACCTCTAAAGCTCACTAATTAAAACATTATCCTGTCTGTTTAATCATTACAAATATCAAAGTGTAAAAATCAAACTGCAGTTATGGGAAGTTTTACCTTGGCTGACTAGCACTGCTTCATGTCACTGTGCTAAGCTAAGCTAACCAGCTGCTGACTCTACATATTTATTCTAATGACACAAGAGTGCTATTGATCTTCTCATGTAACTCTTGACAAACAAGCAAATATGTGTGGTGCCGAACAAATCCTTTAATAACCCTTCTGTGGAAAATGTGTGGATCTACAGCTGGATCCTGAGGTGGAACAAATATGAACCATTCCCTCCTTGATCTATGACCTGACTTTACATTGAATATTAGAGAAGCCTGTGTGCAGGTTTTTTTTATATCCTGCTAACAGTGAGAAAAAAAACAACAATCACACGATCGGGACTAAAAAATAACTTCATTGGGGAGGTACAGTATAGCAATGAGAATTTTCTTTTTTTAAGCTTGTAATGATAAAGAAACTGAAAAAAGCAATCATCAACCTGCATTATGGTCTTTTATTTTGTGCTGAACCCATTCTACAGACAGCTTGTGTGCAAACAGCATTTGGTGCAGTACTGTTCAGAAAGTGTTGTCAGTAGATTTAGTGACTCACAGGTGATGGTGAAGGTCACTGGAGAGGACACCAGCTCTGCACCATCAATGTGCTGAGTGCTGCACGTGAACTGGGCATCGTTGTCTTCCTTCTCGGCTGTGTACTCCAGTACAGAGGTGGTCGTCGAGAGGCCAGTAAGATCGCTTACCTGCACTTTGGCTTGGATGGAAACCCCTGGACAGAAAACAAACAACTCTGATAAGAAAACAATGGTGTAATGACCACAACACTGCATTCATAGCGTCAGCATGTGCGGCACAATTCATCACTAAAGAAGTATTGAATGGCCCAGGCAGAGAGAAAAAAGACATTTATGCATGTGCTACAACTCCAGGGGTGTTTTGTTTGCATTTAAAACTGTGCAGCAGAATAATGAATACATACTTTTCCCATCAGCCACCAAAGGTCTATTGTTCTTCAGCCATGTAATGTTTGCTGGTGGGTTGGCATCCTCTGCAACACATGTTCCAAGCTGTGGAACAACAATTTCAAAATCAACCCTAGAAAAAAAGCATCAAAAACCTGTGCCTAAAGACAAACTGTTGAAAAAGAACTTAGAATAAATCTGCACCTTTTTAAATGGTCAAATATCTGAGCAAACTGGCTTTTTAATGCCTCGCTGGCATTTGAGGAGTTTTCTATGCAATAGACCATGAAATGTCCACAGCATCTCTAAAGCCTCTCAGATCCTTTGGGTATTTTAATTGCAGTGGGGGGATTGTGCTCTTTACCAATTCATGAGAATCACTTCAAAGAACTCATTACTGTAGTGACATAGTACCTGCCGTGCCTCCCGTTACCAGAGCTCAGCTGTGGAATTTCCCTTGATGATTTGCTGCTTAAAATAATGTGGGTAAAAGCAATGTTTATCATTAAAAACCCCACCTTAGTAAGTCTGCCAATCTCCAGTTCCTCTACTTTGTCAGAAATATCGAGACCTGCTGGCACTTCTGAAACACAAATGTCATTTCTGTCACCGTAGCAAGGCAACTAATGCAATCCAAACAGGGAAGTTATTTTAGACTTGTGACTGTACTCACTGTAGATCACCACATTAACTGGGTATTCTTTGATGTCTGCACCAACCACCACCATGCAGGTGAAAGTCCGTTGGTCAGCCAGCTTGGCTGCCGAAAGCAGCAGGCTGGCATTTGTGGTCGCCATGCTGACACGATCCTTGTATTCAGTGTCACTGATTGAGACATTCTGGTTGTTCTGCTTGACCAGCAGGCTTTCTGTAAGTCCCTGTCCTTTGTCCTGGGGAGAAGGGCAGAGTGCAATTGTTACATATGGCACTGGCTTCCAGTTCAAATACGCCCTCTGTTCTTGCTGTGTCATATGGAGGGGCAGATGCGCAGCATATGCACTCAGACTGGGTGTGGTTCAGACATAATAAGTGGGAGTCAGAAGGACGCCACCATTTTGCATTCATTGACCACTGCTTACACTCACATATTTCCATTTAGTGATGAAGACATCTTCTGCTTTTATGGATCCATTGCTGCATGGGATCTCGAGCGTTTCCCCATACTGGCCAATAACAGTCTCCAAACCGCTGACTGCAACAAAGGAAAGCAAAGCCACATTTTTCACTTACTTTTTCAGAGGGTGTAATCTGGTCGGCTTCAATGCAGCATGAAATGTTTTGACTGAAAACTTAAAACCATCCAAGTGCCCACTTTCTGTACATATCTGAGTGTAGCTTATCAGTACCATTTAGTGTTCTCCTAAATCAACAAAGAACAGTCATTTCTATAGTGTTCTGCTAATTTTACATCTCTGCTGGTATAGAAAAACCTTTTCTGTCCTAAATTTCATTGAAAACATTGCCATGGAGACAAAGTGCTTGAGAGGGGGATGGGAGGAGGGCGCCAGAAGAAGCGTCTCAATTGGCTGAGATGAGGGGTTAGAGCCAGAGGACTACAAAGAAGAAGAGGCTGCTATGGCCTGACTGAAAATTAGGCGTTACTCAGTTTTTTTGGTATTCAGATTTACATTTCAGGGCTTGCTTAGTTCAGGCAAAGGTAAATGCACAGGTGGGTGTGTGGAACTCAACATCTGACAGCTAAAATCCAGAACATCAGCAATTCAGTTAAGTGCATGAAAGCAATGCAGTTTCTGCTGAATCTGTGACTGAAAATGTTCATGTATTTACAAGAAAAGTGCAAAACAATGAAAATGCTTAAAAATTGTGTGTGCATTCAACCTTGAAATTGACTGGTTATGTTCGCACACAAAGAAACAAACTCTAATGTGACTTCTGCACTGAAACAAAGTTTCGCTCTCACTTTCCCTGTGAATTCATCAGGTTTCTGCAGAGCGGTGCAAACAGGAGGTGGTTCATTCATTTGCTTTCTGTGCGATACTCATTTTAATCCCATTTGAATGAAGGTAAATACTGTTACTATGGTTACCATTGTCTCCATTAGGACAGAGTAACAACTGGGACCCTGAGGAATATTTGCAAAGATGGATGTAAGCAGGGAAGTGCAGAGGTGTGCATATGTCTGCTTTGTTTCCCACATGTTTAAACCCCTCTTGCCAAGTGTCATTTTCATATCAAGACAATTATACAAATTCACTGAATAGTTATGTATCCTTCTAATGCATTACTCAACTAAGGTTTGCCTCAAGGCAACAAAGCCTGCTGTTATTGTCATCCTCCTGACACTTGAACTGAACAATTTCACACTCCCAACACTTGTCACTCATCTTTATGAGCCGTCAACTCAACATCAACAACATCGAGTCTAATGCTGAACTGACCGTTAAGACCTGTCCATGAAGTCACTATAGAAGTAGATGACAAAAAACAGCACGCCTGCCTTATGTTTAGCTTGTTGTAGCCTGTATGCTGCTTTAAAGTGCCTTAGATTTGTTTTACTGCCTATTTAGATTTGTCTTATTGCTCATTTACTTTATATTTCACTTGTATTGTGTAGCATTCATGATGGCAAAGTAAGAATTTCATTGTACAGGGAAACATGTTTCCTAATTGTGCATATGACAAATAAACACTTTGATATTTGATATTTAAATGGCTCCCTTCCATTTCTGGTGCTGCTATGACTTCCCCACACTGTGACCACTAGTCACACTTTACAGGAATAGTTTGACACTCTGGGAACTACACTTTCTTCTCTTACACACAGTTACAGCGGCCACTTAGCATAGCTGACATTAAGAATGGAAACAGGGGCACACAGCTAGCCTGTCTCTGTCCACCTTTGCTTTTTAGCATCTCTAAAGCTTATAATTAACACCTTGTACCTTGTTCATTTAATCTTTACAAAAACTGAAGTGTAAAAACAAGTTGTAATTTTATGGGCCAGAAAAAGGCTAGCTGTTTCCCTGCTTTCAGTCTTTGTGCTAAGCTAAGCTAATGATCTCCCCTCAGCTGTGGGCTACTGCCATACTTATCAGGCAGCGAAAGGAACAGTCTGATAAAACTCTGTCACTTGTCCAGTGAAGTACAATTAGAACCTTTTCTTGCATTGTGTCATCTCATTGTCCATGATTTGCCTCACAGACATACAGTGTGTTCTTATTCAGAATCAAGTTGCATGAATTGGGCAGATTTTTTAGGCATGAACAGGCATGAAGAGTTATTTTCTCAAGAACTGGAGGAGGTTTGTGAAATACAACCATGCTGTGTGCTCTGACTAAGACTAAGAAGCAAATGGGTACCTTGTTGGATGTAAACCTGTGCCTGCATTTCACAGAGTTTTGCTCACATCCAGATTTTTCAGTATGGTGTACCACAGACTGATCCACCTGAAATGGTAATGTAGATTGCTGGTGCGAACACAGCATGCTGATGTAGCCGTCCCACACTCCCTTGTTTTGTCTTTCTGATGTAAATCTAATGAACCTGACTCTCGGTCTTCAGCTAAATGTGCAGGTTTCATGTCCAGGCAGAAAAGATTGCATGCTGGGCAGAAATAAAAATGGAGACATTTTGAATCTATTAAGAGGACGCAGTTAATGAGCTCTCTGGGCACGACATGGGCTTTTGTTTTGCATATGTGTCAGATCTGATGATATCCTGCTCTAGTTCATTTCTGGAGTCATTCAGGGTGCCAAAAATAATCTGTCAGCATCTAGATTATGTGCTACACCTGGGCAAGTTGGTGCCAGGATTCTCTAATGGCCAGGGAGACATCCAAATGTTTTTCAAAATCTAGTTGGCAACCAAGTCCACATATATAGCACCCTAGTGAGTCTCAGGAGAGAATCATGCACAACCTGCCCTGCTACAGTTGTTAAATAATAGGAGTTGGTTATTTTCAGGTTACACTGCAAGCACGCTGCAGTGTCGGAAAGGTTATCGCACTTCCTGTATAATAGACTCCTTACATTTCAAATTCAAATAGGCATTTTGAATATTCAAATAAAGCTGTGTTCAGACTCTCAGAGAACTTTAAAAGTGTGCATGAAAGAAAAGGCTTTATCGGCACAGATTACACTATTACACAATGAGAACTAATCACACATGTTGAGTTACAGAAGACAAAGTCCCAGCTGTCTACTGAGATAAGGTAATCCTCTGCAACAAAAGTAGGTGAAAGGTGTGACTTCACATTGACAAACACATGCACACAACACTGTGCATACAAAAAATGAGCTCTTCAAACAGCTGTCTATATGTTGAGGCGACAAAGAAAGTGGTAAAAGACATTTGTGTTTCTTGTTTGTATTGTTAGCCTGCATAGTGAGGTTACAGATGTTTTGGGTCAGTCAGACCACTTCTGGGATTTGGGAGGCACAGTCCTGTGTAAAAAGCACGATTAATACTATCTACTAAGGTAAAAAAATAAATATATAAAATTAAGCTTGGGTTTCTGAGACTCAATTTTCATAAACAGACTTTAGACAGATTCATTAGTTAAAAATCATATTTATAAATAAGAAAGAAAGACATTCTCATAAAATTAGTAAAGGCATTAAGTATCGAGCTGATAAAACAATGTTAAGCATGTTTTTTTTTAGCTGTTAAACTCCAGTACCCCAAATGGAAGAGTAGGGTTAAAGAATACACCCGGAGTGTTTACACTGATGGGCAATTTAGTCCTCGGAACTCAAAACAACTCAGCTCACCAGGTTGGACATGAATTGCCCTATACTTATAAAAGCAGAATCTCATATTGGACACAAAAAATTACTTAAAACTCTGGCGATGGTAAATCAAGGCGAGCGACAGAGACAGGAGGCAGCACCACAGGAGATACTTTCTTGTTCCTGATTAAGGCGCATCTATCCCAGAGAAGAGACAGGTGACGGCAGCTCTGATATAAGCTCACCAGGGAAATCAGCCACCTCCCCACACTACTCTCTATATATCCCTGTTTTGCTACCTTACGCCCTCCTATTTCTGTGTGTGTCTGATAGTGTGTGCACTTCTTTCAGCTGCAAGATTCAAAAGAAAACAGAGGCCCAAACTTATTAAGTGCTGAAAATGAGGATTGTGCAGTGAACGTAGATCCCATGGCGCATGTCCACAAAGACTTGATGGCAAATAGCCTCACTTCAGGAGCAGTTCAGTGGCGAGGGGGCAGACAGTTGAACCACTTCAACAAGATCAATAATACTTGAGGAAAGGCTATATTCTTATACTGAATGGTGCTTGCCTAAGGAGCAAGAAATCAAAGAAAACCTACCCTTTCATGACATTGTGCTCCTCGTCCTTGTCTTTACTTTAATAATTTAACAAGTGCTGAATTTTGATTACCCAGGGAGTATGTGAAAGGGAATCAGCGTTTTAATAAAGTAAATCTCCCATTACTTGCTGTCAAGAAAAAACAGAGAGACTCCTGTCCTATGGACAGGTGTGGGAAGGTTTCAGAAAAGAACTGTCTACTACTAGAGCCCCAACACATGCTTGTAGCTACTTGCTAATATATGAGCCTGCAGGCTGCAGTTTTGTCAGCTCTTTCACTCGGGTCCCACCCTCAGCTCATATGTTACTAACTATGAGAAGCGTATGACTATATTTGAATTTTGTTACTGTGGCAGTTCAGACTGAGCAACTGTTCCAAACCAGCAAACTGAAGAGGGATTTTTTTAAACGCACGGCTACATCCTCACTATCTCTGCCTGTCAATCTCCAGGGAAGGGCTGTAATCATGTCACTGATGGATAACTGACAGCCGACTTTACAGCATCCCTTTCACACACTTTCTCTTTTTGCTGCAGACTAAACCATGGAAGCTACATTCCAAGCATGAACATTTTGCTTTCTTCCTGCCTGCTGTAATGGCCTGTCAGCATCTTGAGAGCTTGTGTCTCTTTACCAGACTGTTGATAGTTGGTTGAATGACTCCAGTGTTAAAAAATGTAAAGAACGTGCCCAAGAAATGTTTGTTCTATATGTTGCAGTAAAAGGAGGATGGTAATAGTATTTCTCCAAGCCATTCCACCTCTCTCAATTTTGTGGGTAGGCATTTTTAACCATACGAATGGCCTGACTCCAGGGACGGCAGTGTCGTCAGTCTGTCGGTAAATTGATTGGTCCACTTTGATCCAGGCTGAAATATTTTCAACTACTATTGGATGGACTGCC